ACAGAATTACAAAGAGGAGAGGGGAGATAAACTCTCTTAATTGCCCCCAAAACTGTAAATAGATGTAGTTGCAACATAGCCCAGAAAACATTACTTATTACCATCCTTTGTCTAGCCAATGCATCAGTCAAGCAATTAGCATCTCTCTTAATCCAGTTCAACTTAATTTCCATTCCTTGTGTCAAACACCTAAACTTCCATTTTTCATTGATATAATCCCACCACCCCATCTCCTCCTTTTGAAGCTAGCTAATTAGAGTCTGCTTTTAATTATCAGTTTAGAAAGATTTGATTCCTTGGTTTTCTGAATTCTTCCATAACAGCAAGAATTTCAGCTCTCAAAGAATCTCCTAATGGTCCCGGATTGCCTTGGTTTTCTGTTTTCCTCATCTCTGAAAGCTCCTCCAATGCCTAATGGTCTGGGATTGTCTTCACTACCACCATCAAATTTCAATTTGACAAATCCATTGATTGGGGGGGGGGGGTCCAGGATGGTCTTGTGACAGCTTTCAATGGAGCAGAATCAGCCACTTCCTTCCACTTTCTCATCAAACCAACAGTAGAAACTCCTTCAAAGACTTTTGAAGTCTTCACCCAATGGATCACCCTAGTTGTAATGGCTTTAATTAGGGCTTCCCTACCACTTTTTTTTTTTTTTTTTCTGCAAATATACTTTGATTTCTTTCTTCCCATATTGTCCAACAAATTGCAGCTCTCGTACACCTCCATAAGATTCTTCCCCTCATTTTCTGCCAACGGACAATGGTAGGGCCAAACAAGCTTTTGTACATTTGGCGGGCGGTTCCACCTGCACCCAAACAAAGAAAGAAATCATTCCCAAATTGAAGATGCAAAAGGACAGGAGATCAATACGGGATGGGCAGACTCCCCATTAGCCTAATAGAGGAGACACCAAGTGAGGAGATAAGTACCAATTAGGCCTTTTCCTTTGGAGTAGATCACATGTGTTTATTCTACCAAGAATCACTTCCCAGCAAAAAACCTCTAATCCTAGGCGGAATAGGCTTACACCAAATCTCATTAATTGGAAAAAGTTGGCCCCGACTATTATTGGCTAAGTTAGGGACAAAAAGGAGGCACATGTGAAGAGTCCTGAAGGGGGCCTTGGATCAAGGTTAAAGCATTGCTAATTTTACAATCTCTTGGTGTCCTCTACTGAAAAAAAAAAATCTCTTAGTGTCCTCTCCTTAGACCCAAATCCCAAACAAATCTAGAAAAAGAGTTGGAAGGAGTCACAAAGGAAGTAATAGATTCATCCCTCCGGTTGAGATTGCATAAATTGAAGGAAATTGCTCTTTTGAGGGTTGGATTACCTAATCACACATGTTCCCAAAATTTAACAAGATTACCAAAGCAAGGATTATACCTGATAAATGGTGAGAATGAATGATGACATGGATAGACTTACAAGGGGAAGCTCTTGTAGCCCTAGCCAGCACACCAGCATCCCAACCATCAACTGAAAGTCCATGAATACTAGAATCACCTTCACCCACAACTTATCCCTATTAATTGGCAACCTCCAAAGCCATTTTGCAAGTAATTTCACGCTCCTTTCTTGAATATTTCCTAACCCTAGCCCACCAAACTTCTTGCTCCTAAAAACTTCTCAACTAACTCTGTGGTGTTTTTCTCCTCCCTTGGCTCCCACAATAAGTCCTTGATCAACTTTTCTAGCTGCTTGCTAACCCCTCCTAGAATCCTAAATACAGCCAAAAACTAGATTAACAAGTTTGCTCGAGTGGACCTGATTAGGGTGATCCTACCTCCTAGGGACAAGTAGATTTTCTTCTAAGAAGCCAATCTTTTGGTAAATCTCTCGATTACTGGATTCCAAAAGTTACTCCCCTTGGATTATCCCCTCGAGGTAAACCCAAATAATTCATAGGCAAATGATCCCCCTTGAACTCCAACATTTCATCTCCTTTTGTAACTTCTCTTTCCTCCATGTTCAAGCCTACAGGACAACTTTTATCCCAATTCACAATCAGATTTGACATTCTTTCGAAAAAGAGCACTATCATCTTCAAATGCCTCACATCTTGAGTCACTTCTATTACAAAACAAGATTGTATCATTAGCAAACTGTAAGTGGGTGATAGGAATCTTCTGTCTACCTATTCTCCATCCCCTCACCAAATTCCTAGCATCAGCCCTAGAGATCAATATCCCAAGAACATCTGTTATTAGTGTGAACAAGAACGGGAAAAGAGAGTCCCCTTGCCTTATTCCCCTAATGGTCAAGAAATGATATACCACAATTCCATTTACCAAAATCGAGTAATGACATGTCCTGATACATCTTGAGATCCACTTACAACATCTATCACCAAATCCATCATTTTTCATTACTTACAACAAGAAGCCCCGATCAACCAAATTATAAGCCTTTTCCAAATTCAATTTACAAACCAATCCCTTCCTCCCTGATCTCTTTATCTCTTCAAGACATTCATTAGCAATTAAGATTTGATCAATAATTTGCCTATCCTTAACAAAGACGCCCTAAGAGGGTGAGATCAAGGATGGTAGTACAACCCTAATTCTCTAAGAATATACACATTAACAATGATTTTATACAAACTATTGATCAAATTGATTGGTCTGAAATCCTTTGGATGCACAACTTTAGTTTTTTTTATTTGGCATTAAACAATAAATGTGGAATTAAGCCTTGGATTGATTATACCTCTCCCAAAAAATTCATTAAATACTTTATGTAAATCATCTTTTAGTACTTCCTAGGAATCTTGATAGAAGGCCATTGTAAAACCATCAGGACCAGGGGCTTTGGACACAACTTTTTTGATCTCCTCAATTTTTCAAACCTAGCCTTAGACTTTTCAGTTAATTTAGGCCATTCCAAACCATCAAGCCACAACCATTCAGCCAAAGGTCTCCTAAAGATTGATTTAAAGTGATCTACAAAAGCTCGGGCAATTTCATTTTGATGAGTAAATGGTATTGCACCCACCACTAATTTAGAGACAGTTTTTCTCTTCCTCCCATTTTCAAGAGCATGAAAAAATTTGGTATTTTTCTCTCCCTCCTTTAGCCAAGTATTCCTTGATTTTTTGTCTCTAATGTATCTTTTCTTTCAATAGTTGTCTCGTTAAAGGCCACTTTTCTTCCTTGCCCCTTTCTTCAAACATGCTTGAGGTTTCTTTTGAATCCAATTCCTCAATTCTACCAATTATTGCTTGCTTCCTTTCCTCTAATCTCCTGAACTGATGAATGTTCCACTCTTTAATTTTGGCTTCAAGTTTCTTCAGTTTCCAAAGAAACTTCATTCCTTCCCATTTAGCCTTTGGGTTATTCTCCTCCCACCATTCCATAACCATATCCACAAAACCATTTGTACATAACCACATATTCTCAAACCTAATTGGTGCCGAACCTCTTCCACCTAAATCTTCTTTAAAAATTGAAATTGGCCAGAGAATTGATGTAATCCGAGGTAAGGCTCTAGAGATTAGGTTACCCCATTGCTCCTGCCAATCCATTGTGAAATTTTCCTTGCAAATTCCTCCCCTCCAATAACAAATAAACCTATGAGCTTACTTACCTCCACCCCTATATTCACCCTCCGGCTTGTCCAACCTCCTCTCTTTATTCCTTGTTTGTTCTTCCTCTTCATTACTCCCATCTCCTTCAATTTCCAGGTCTAGCTTCAACAGATCACCAGAGCTGCTCACCTCTCCTCCCTCCTTAGTAGGACTTTCCTGCAGATTTGCCAACTGATTAGTTTTATTGGACTCTAGTAATGTTGAAATATCTTCCTTCAATAATTCTTCCATGATTCCTTTTCTCTTTCCAAATGTATGGTATCAGAAACATCACCGTGAGAATCCTTCAATGAATTTAGAGAATCCCTATCCACCACCAAATTAGAAGTAACAAATCTCTCTGTCTGAGCATTCATACTGTTTATCCCTTCTTTTATGGTGTTTCCCTTCTCACAATCTGCAGAACTATTCAGATTTTTTCCCTTATTTAACCTTTGTAAACCACCCATTCCCAAATCTCCTTGTTTGCTTCTCTGTCTTTGATTCTTTTCCTTTTAGTGTGCTTTTGAACACTGCTTCTCTTTTCCAACTTGAAGCACCAACCCTACACTTTCTCCTCTGCCCCCTTAATCTTTTTCTTCAACATTCTTTCTGCATTATCAGTGATTTCAAACCACCCTTTTAAGCCAGACTCTGCATTGTCTTTTTGTATTTCAACTTAGACTTTCAGAGCTCAGTCCATTGCCTCTAGGAAATGGCCAATGAAGCAATGAAGCAAGACATGCCCTGTAGACTTTTTTTTTTTTTTGAAAAAGGTAAAGTTTTATTAGATCCAAGCAAAGCATGACACAACAAGCCCCCGACCGGGCAAAGAAAACACAATACAACAGAGTTACAACTCCCACAGTCTTATAGCTCTCAGCAAGTATGCCAATACCTGAGGCTGAAAGCCTTTAGCAGCTGAAACTCAGGACACCAGCTTTCCAAAGGAATTGGAAACCAACTCCTCCACCTTTGAAGCTTGATGGAACAGCCTTCTGTTTCTTTCAGCCCAAACAGTGCTGAGACTCAACTTGTAAATTGGTTTGTTTTATGGGTTTTTGTGTATTTAGCGGTAGCCATTTTTGTATAGTTTTTTAGATAGGTCTTGGAGCTAAAGTGACTCATTTGTGCTGTAACTCTTTTCTTCTTTGGGTATCTCATGGCTTTTCCTTTTTCTTCCTTGGGTGTTTTGCTTGGATTGCTCATATACTTCTATATTCTATTTTCCTCTTTCAACCTAATTTTTCCTCAGAAAAATCTTATTATTGGTTGAAAATAATTATGCCTTGATATCACTATAAGCATGTAACTAGGCATAGCCATGATAAATATTTTGACTTCGCTTTGGTCTGCTTATGCTGCTGCTGCTGTGTATCTGATGGAATTTTGAGAAATGGGTTACATTTCTTTGTGTTTTATTCCTGTTTTCAGGGTTCTGGGAAAACATCACTAGCCACAGCCGTTGCAAAATTCTTTGAAGAGCATGCAGAGATCTTGGCACACATGTATGAAATTTATTAATTCTTGACTTCCTTTATCATTTCTCTATACAATTACTTAATCTGATTTTAGAAACTTGAAAGGTCTATGGACTTAAACTCGGCTATTATGGACTGATGAAATTTTTAAATACAACATAAAGGTGTGGGCAGCAAAATATTGTGAAGTTTTCTGTAACTGTGCCTGCAGTGTTTTTGTAAGCTGTTCCAATCTGGCTCTAGAGAAGACACAGACTATTCGGCAATCACTTTCTGGCTACATATCTGAAGCTCTGGATCACACACCTTCTCTTGTAATATTTGATGATCTTGATAGTATTGTCTCATCTTCTGACTCTGAGGGATCTCAACTTTCAAGTTCAACTGTAGCACTGGTGGAATTTCTCACTGATATGATGGATGAATATGGGGTACTATTTGTGTTTCTGAATTATATGTCAGACATTTACAATGGTTGTTGCATTAAGCTCAGTCCATTTCTGATTGTGGAATTGGGCCATTTTATCTATTATATAACTAAACTTTGTCTTTACATTATTTAGGAAAAGAGGCACTGTTCATGTGGAATTGGGCCAATTGCGTTTTTGGCATCTGCACAATCTCTTGGAAATTTGCCACAATCCTTTAGCTCTTCAGGTTGTTCAGTACTTTCCCACTTTTCTATTAAGACAAAATGTATAGAATAATAGAAGAACTTGATGAAATAACTTGGTAGGATGATTTATGATTTGGTTAGTTCCCATGATTTGATTACTTATTTGTCAATGTGGTTTGTCTCAGGGAGGTTTGATTTCCATGTGCAACTCCCTTCTCCTGCTGCCTCAGAACGGACAGCTATATTGAAGCATGAAATTCATAAACGCTCCTTAAGATGTTCTGATGATATCCTGTCAAATATTGCTTCAAAATGTGATGGATATGATGCATATGATTTGGTATTGTCTTTTGATAAATTACTTCTGAAAGTGATCATTTTCTCCATTATAAATGGATGTTCCCCTTCCATCTACAGGTTCTTCAAATCAAGATTTGTGTTTCTATTGTCCATGAAACATTGAGTGCAGTAAAAATACATTATGTTGCTTGAAATCTGGAAATGAAAAAGTAATGGAAATATACAAGATAGTTGAGGAATCATTAGTTTGAATTCTTTGTATTAGAAGATTCAAGGGTATTGTGCCATTGAACTGTGGAATCATACTGGACAATAATATTACCTTGAAGAGCAACCGATTTCTTATTTAGTTGTTCAATAGGGTATTAAAGTGATACTTATAGACCTTGCAAAAAATCCTTCTGAATTTTTCCTAAAATCCTTTGTTTGTGAAGCAATAAAATTGTAATAATTATTTTTTTAAAAGAACTGAGCAAACTCTGTTCTCCTGAACATATTTTTTTTTCAGTAACAAACTAAAAATACCAAAGTTGAATTTGTAGCTAGAGAAGACACAATGAATGAGCTTACATGATGAAGATATGCCATGAATGAACAAATCCTTCCCCATGCATTTCCTAGAAAGGCTATGTATAGGACAGCTTTCCTATCTAGGAGTCCAATGAATGAGCTGTTCATCCTAGAGGCCAACAATCTTGCCTCCTTGTCAAGTATAGCAAGTTCTATGGGCTTTCCAAGAAGGGAAACATCCATCTTATTATTGCCCATCAATCACCTTCTATTGGTATTGTTCCCTGACCCAATAAATGATCCTTTAAAACTATGTAGGTGAGTCAAAGTTTCTGCTTTAATGATATTCTCATATTCAATTGGTCGATAACAAAGCACCTTGATGTCACCTATCTCCTTGATGTAGGACTAAAAGGATAATTCTGCTAAAGATAATTCTAAATAATCAGGATAATTTTCTAGAAACATAGAATAATTAACAAACCTTCAAGAGATCATTAGAAAAAATATAATTGCACATTTAAGGCTCAAACCATAGCAAAGAACCGTATAAATCAAATAGAAAAAAATGAAAAGACAGTAATAAGTATGTTTCTCTGTCTTCCTTTCGGTGTTTCGCCATATTCTCTTCTTTATATATGTCAATTATTTGCCATTTTAACCTTTTTCGTTATTGTTTTTATAAGTTTTGATTAGATCGAAAATACACTTTTGTAGTTATATGCATTTTTCTGTTTCTTTTGCATTAAGTGACTTAGTAAGTGAATCATATCAAAGTAGTAAGTCATTTATCTAATCACCAATTTCTTGCTGGTTCTTTTAGAAAAATATTTTTAAAAAATTATGATGGTTTTAATGAAATATTGAACAAATTCTAATAAAGGGCAATTCATCAAAAAAATTCTAATAAAGGGCAGCCCAGTGCACTAGACTCCCGCCAGTGTGGGATCTGGGAAGGGACTAGTGTACGCAGCCTAACAGAGGCTGTTTCCAAGATTTGAACCCTGGTCACCCAGGTCGCAATGGAGCAAACCAACCATTGTGCCAAGGCCCACCCTCTCTAGGCATTGAAATTGAAAAATAAATTGTAATATTCTTGTAGAGAAGATAGGCCAAATGATCCATAACTGTTTTCTTATTTTGTTTCTTTATGTTCTTTTCCGTAATGGGCCTCAACTTGGGCCTTTTTTCTCTTATGTTATGTATTTTTAATTATTCGCTCAACTAAGGGCCTCTCTGTAAATTATTGAAATTAAGTTAATGAAAAGGGATTAGGGGTGTAAGAGGAGATTATGTTCGAAAATCTCTCTCTGAATCCTTATTGCTGCCATCTTCTTCTTCCACTTCTCTCTTCTTGAATCTTGATTTCTGCTGTTCTCAATCACTTTTCTGCAGCTTTTTAAACAGTCCATTCTTTAAAGAAGGTTGTTTTTCTTCTTGGTATTAGAGCGAGCTCTTCTTTTCTCTCTTTTCTCCTCTTTTTCCCATACACAGTGTGTATGGAGAACTGAATTGGATGAATAGGTAAAGAAATATTTTTCAGACCAGTTTTTAGTGGTTTTTGGAGAGGAGGCTATCTTTGTCGTCCTCTTGATAGTATCAAGTGTGTTGCCTGAAACCCTAATTAATTGAAGAAATCTACTTGCGGTCCCCACAGGGAGTTTGACCTTGGTGCTCAATGACTAAAAGACTCCTTGTTCTTCATCTTGAAGATCGATTCAAGTTGCTCAGTGTTTTGTGGTCTACAAGGTGCGGGCCATGCGGCTGGGTTTTTTCTGTTTCTCCCAGGTTCCGGGTGTGACGCAATTAACAGGTACGGCTGCATAGAGGTTGATTCACAACACAATTTTTTTTTTTTGTCTTCATTGACTGTTATTTGAAGTTATTAGAAGCTATTTTTGAAGTGTTTTAAGAAGATGGACCCTTCAGACGTTGAAAACAAGCATGTTGCTGAATCCGGACAGGTTCTAGGAGCCTCTGTTGACTCTCTACTGGTTGTGACCATAGTCAAGCTAGATGGAACTAATTATCTGGCATGGTCACAATCAGTAAAAATTCATATATGTAGTAGAGGCAAATGGGGTTATATGGGACAATGGGACAATGTAGTCAACACTATTTGTGGATGAATTCAGCAAAAGAAATATGGGACAATGTTGTTGAAACCTATTCCTAGAAACTAAATGTAGCTAGAGCATACAAGCTGAGGAGTGAAAAATTTAAGGCAGGGGGAGAAACCTTTGGCTGTTTATTTCTCAATACTGAAATCTCTTTGGAAAGTGAAGAAAACTGAAGAGAAGAGAGTTGAGGGTTCGGCAATGAGGGTCTAAGAAGAGGATTTCGAACACTCTCTCTCTCAGCCCTCTAACACTGTTTTATTAGAAATATTTGAATAATTACAAGGAGGCCCTTAGTTGGGCAAGAATTTACACAAAACTTAATATTGACAGGATGGACACAAAATAAGGCCCATTACAGAAAAGAAACATAAATAACAAGAAGGAATAAGCAACCTATGGGCCATTCAGCCCATCTTCTCTACACTCCCCCTCAAGCTGAGCATAGATGTCAATCATGCCAAGCTTGGTGGTATCATGCTGAAGTTTTGCATGGGAATGCCTTTGGTGAGAAAATCTGCCAATTGTCCTTTAGATGTGATGAAAGGAAGACACTTCACCCGAAGAGGCCCTTTCCCTAATGAAGTGTCGATCAACTTCAATATGCTTGGTTCTATCATGTTGCACTGGGTTGTGAGCAATGTTGATGGCAGCCTGATTATCACAATACAACATCATTGGCTTGTCATATTCAACTCCAAGTTCTTCCATCAAAGATTTTAGCCATAATAATTCAGAAACCCCATGTGCCATGGC